CAGAAACAGAAATTCCATCAGAGAGGCCATCCTTGGCGCAGTGAAGACCAGAGTGACGCACAACCCACCTACACCACACCACTGGTGACCTCTTAAGATGGAAGGAAGACAAACAGTGTTTGTCTGTTGTTCTGGTGCGCAAAAAAGCTCCATTTTTAACACAGTAGACGATGAAAGCTTCGATTAGAATTTTCTATTTTTCAGATTCCAGCTAATCAGTATATTACAATGCACTGCCTAAATGGGGGAAAAAAAATCTAAAAATTAGTTACTTGACTGTTTTGATTAGTTTCAAGTCTATCAGCTGCAAGAGAGTCGAGAAAACTGCGTTTTTCAACTTTTCACCACTTATGTAATGGAATATGCATTGATAGTTCACTGTCAATGCATATTCACTGAGGAACATGTCTCTTCCTGGGACTTTTATGTCAAAATTGTCGTAAATGATACATTTTGAAGTTAGTTCTGGGATCTCGAGATGGATTTACTCAAGTCTCGAACTAAGATTCGGTTATCACAAAGTGTTGAAATTTGGTAAATTGAATGTAACAATTTCTTTGAATATAATAATAATAATAATAATAATAATAATAATAATAATAATAATAATAATAATAATAATAATAATAAAGGAAGCAAGGCACTGATTTAGAAAATATCTACTAATCAATATATATATATATATATATATATATATATATATATATATATATATATATAAAACTGGTCAATTAGCAAGAACTCATTTAAAATTAAGTCCTTTCTAAAATGTTCTCTTATACGTTTAAAGATATATTTTTTTCATTAATGTTAATGTAAAAATTTATAATTTTGCATGAAAGAATCTTAAAAAACTTACCTAACCTTATTATAACAAGAACAATTTATTTTAGCCTAACCCAACTAAATATATTTTAGATTTGTTTAAAGTAATTTAATACTAAGCAAACACAGTTAAATATATTTTTTTTCGTTAGGTTCAGAATGATTTTGGCGAAATTATTGCATACACAAATTTTCGCTTGTCTTATATGGCAAGATGAGCGTTGCTATTTAAACCAAGATCGCAAGTTCTGCCTATTCGGCACGACATACATATACTCTTCACGGGGACGGAACACATTACGTGATCATCATCGAGATTGGATACCGGACACCGGTGTGGAAAGATCGTAGGACAGTGTGTTGTGTTCGCTTGAAATATATGTCTGTGTTAGTTTACGCACAGATTGGCGACGTTTCTAGTGGTCCTTGGACTGTGTTCAGTGTTTCAGGGCAGTGAGCCACGTGCGGGTGGCTACGGGCCCTAACTGGGGCACTGAGCCTCACAGCTCTGTACCCAGTGTGGGCGGCTGTGAAGTCACAGGCAGCAGCTGGCTCTGTCCCCACACCTACAGTCACCATGACAGACCCAGGAGAGCGGCCTGAACGTTCATTGGAATGCGGGGACGAGTTGGAGGACGACGTGGTGAAGGTGGGAGCCCCCACCAAGAAGGCCAAGGATGCAGTATTGTATCTGCCAATCTGCCACTAGATCCGTCGGCAGCCGCTACCCAAGGAGACTTGCACCCCCAGATGGCCATAGGGATTGTGGAAGGAAGCCAGGAGGCTGTAGATCCACAACTGGCAAGGATAGAGGCATCCCAGGTCCCTAAACCAGTTGCGCTGGCCTCCACATTGGACGGGGACTGGCTGACTCCACGTGGAGTTTATCTGGAGTTTATCTGGAGAGAGTTCCGGGGGTCAACGCCCCCGCGGCCCGGTCTGTGACCAGGCCTCCTTAGGTCAGTGTCCCAGGATGCGACCCACACCAGTCGACTAACACCCAGGTACCCATTTTACTGATGGGGAACATAGACAACAGGTGGAAAGAAACACGTCCAATGTTTCTACTCTGGCTGGGAATCGAACCCAGGCCCTCACCGTGTGAAGCGAGAGCGTTAACCACCAGGCCACCAGGACGAAGGAATTCCCGCTCAGCTCGGGCACAAGCAACCAGGGCCTTCAACAAATTCAAGGTTCTGGATTACGGGTTTGTAAGGTATCTGGAAGGTCTACCCCGCCTCAAGTTCAACTGCGAATTCACTCTCAGGAACGAAGTTTTGGTCATTCCTCGGGACGAGGATTCTTACGAGGAATTGAAGGGGCTGGCTGTGACGCATCCCAGCATGGTGGAACTGGTTGCTTCGGAGGTGTGTATACAAGGGGGGTGCTCTTACACGTCCCTGTGCCCCTCCCACTGAACCCCATTTTGGAAGTGCCCAATATTGTCAAGGCAGAGTGACTCACTGTAACAGTAAACAAGGTGCCCACCCGCCAGGTGCTGATCCACCACAAAGGTCCACTTCCCACGCACCTGGACCTTGGTGTCTGGGGAAGATTCAAGACCTGACCATACCTGTCAGGCCCAGTACAATGCTTCAATCATACCTGCCAGCGAGAGAAGAAGTGTGGTGTGTGCAGCAAGGCACACGACTCGAAGGACTGCATCGCCATCCTCAAACAGCCAACCGGCAAAGCCCTTCGGCCGGAGCCCAAGTGTGCCAACTGCTCAAAGAGGCACCATGCCTGGAACCGAAACTGTCCTGTGATGGTGCAGCACTGGCAGCAGGTTCGTCATCAGAACGACCCGACAGCCCCGACGCCACCCAGCCTTGGAACCACCCAGCAACAGTCGGTATGGGCTCCGACCGCGGTTCCCCAGATACCGCAGGAGGGCAATACCAGCGAGTTCCCGGCACTGGGCTCCCGGCAGTTGCATCAGGGGGCACGCACTGGCTTGCAGCAGCGCGGTCAACTACGGGGTCAGATGGTAAGGTGCCAAGAAGACAGAATCAATGGGAAAAACAGCCACAGGCCAGGCACACTGCCCAGCAGGTCCCAGCTGGGCACCAACATTCCTTGCCATACCGCCAGAAGGCCTCTTCTCAAGGGCAGGCCCCTACTGTGAGCGGCCAGAGTCAGGCAGAGGTTTCCCGCCAGGGGACCCAGAAGCCCATGGCCACTCAGGCCGGGCCCAGGGTGCACCCAGCTTATGCTGCTGCAGTGTCAACAGCCACCCAGACATACCCAGTGATCCAGCACCGACTCGATGGGTCGTCCAGCTCAATGCCTGCAGAGGTAATGGTCGAATCATTTTCCGATCGACTGAAGAAAACCATCGGGGTCATCTCAGCACTCCTCTGTCGCCTGCTGCCGTCGGCGGAGGACAGGGGCGCCTGCAGACAGCTCCTGTCATGGATGCTGGGCGTGGTCCTACTGGACAGGAAGGACTCAATGGAACTTCAGGCCATCATCCAAGAGTCCTTCCAGTCTGTGATGGAGGAGGCCCCGGAGTCGCCAACAACGGACGATGAGTCCCAGGCAGAGATGGAATCAGAGGGCCACCTCTGCGGCCCTTGAAGATCCTCCAGTGGAACATTTGCGGGCTGCAGCAGAAAATTCACTTAGTGATTGAAGCTGCAGTTCAGGATGAGGTTGATGTCTTCCTGTTCCAGGAGACACTTACCAATTAGTCACATCAAATGCAGCCACGTATCCCAGGATTCTCGGCCTACCTTCAGCGCCTGGAAGGGGCACGGCGATCTACGTCAGGACCACTATCCCTCATTCAATCTCCAATGACCCAGTCAACTGTGGGGAGGGTGTAGAGGTTCAGGCTGTCACCCTACACCTACCGGATGGACCTCTCGTGGTTTACAATATTTACAGAAGCTCTCGGTACACCCTTGACATTTCAGAGGTGGCAGCACTCGCCCCACGGGAGGGTTTCCTTGGTGTGCCTCCTTCAGCTACTCCTCCACCTTATCTGAGATTTAGACCAAGTTACGATTGGCCACCGGGCAGTGTCGCAGTGTGGCTCAGTTGCACCCAGACCCCACAACGAAGGCAGAACGTCTGGTGGACCTTTTCACTTCCAGAGCGGCCATGGCTCAACTGCCTCAACTGCTGTATAGCCCTTGTGGCTTAGCGCTTCTTTTTGATTATAATAATAATAATCAACTGCCTCAGGATCTCCAGGACCTCCAAGCCACCCTCCTTCCTAGAAGGATGATGGTGATCCAAGTGGCATGCCAGGCTAAGGACATCATGGATGAAGACTTCACCAACCAGGAGCTACAGGAAGCCTTAACATCTCATCAGGACACTGAACCGGGGCATGATGGTATCACCTATGGCACGATCACTCGGTCTGGCCATTCTGGCCATTCACCTGTCCTGGGGGTCGTCAACCGGACTTGGCGAGCTGGCAAACTCCCTGTCGTATGGAAGGAGGCTGACATCATCCCGATTCCTAAGCCTGGGGATCCTGGCAGTGTGAGACCCATCTCCCTCACCAGCTGCATCTCGAAGGTGTCTGAAAGGATGCTGTTGGAGCGCCTGAGGTGGAAGCTTGGCCCTCCTCATGAACACCTCTATGGCTTCACCAGAGGAGTGGGCACTTTTGAAAGCCTTACCACTCTACTGGCCGGCATTGGGTCGGACGCCCAAGCCCACATTGTTGTCTTTCTTGACCTCGAGAAAGCTTTTGAGCTAGCCAGTGCACCTGCCATCCTCTCACTCTTGGCCCGCAGGGGGGTTAAAGGCAGGCTGCTTTCATGGCTTCGTTCCTATCTCCAGGACAGGCGGGCCCGGGTACGCTTCCAGGGGCATGCCTCTTCTCTCAAGACCCTGGACAACGGCACTCCACAGGGCGGGGTGCTTAGTCCCACCCTGTTCAATGTACTGATGCACCAGCTGGTGCGCCTGCCTTTCTCCAGAGGCACCTTCCTCCTCAGCTATGCCGATGACCTGACACTTGTCGTACCTAGGAAGCGCCGGCTTATGCAGCGTGCCCAGGAGGACCTCGATCTGCTGGCTTCCACTTGCCGTCACTTGAGGCTCAAGATATCTGCGGCAAAATCCAAAGCCATGATCCTACGCACCAGGGTACACCCAGTCAGAGGCTGCGGGTCCTGGGCATCAACCTGGAGTGGGTTCACAGTTATAGGTACCTTGGCATCTACATTGACAGGCGCCTCACCTTCCAGAAACATGTTCACCACATTAAAGAGCAGGATCTGCAGAGGGTCAGGGCATTGAGTGCCATGGCCAACCCTTGGGTTTGGGCCAGCCTCGAGGTCATGAGGTT